AGCTAGAAGGCCAGCTAATAGTTTATGAAGTAGCTAAAACACAATTCCGCACCTTAATGGAGACACATGAATTTGTTTTGCAAATCAGATTCAAAATTGCCAACTGTTTTTTCATGAATCCTTTGCCTATGGTGCACTGAAACCACTATGACGAGTTCCATTTTTCGTCATGCAGGAGTTATAGATGTCTAAAAAGCCAACAAAAAATACCCGAAGAAGTCTCTGAATATTTTATACTTCCTTTATCATGTATGATTGTTTTATTATTAATGTATTGCAATAGATCCGGGTTGTATGCATGTTATGTGCCAAATGCATTATCAATTAACACTTTTGAATTGTCAAACGAATCTAAAGACTAAATCTGGATGAGAGATTCCCCAAAGAGTTCACCTCAAACTGGACGGATTTTGTACAAACGTCAGACATTATGGGAAAATGATGAACTCGTTTGGTTTATTTGATCGGAATGAAAATGGCCGACTGGAAGTTCAAAGAATCTTCTCCCTAAGTGGAAGAGTGTTTAGATTCACATCTGATTCAATAGACATGGCCAAAATGGACAAAACTAAACAGCGCCACCGGTGGCTGTTGTCAGCTTTATGCTTATGGTACTAGTAAGTATATTTGGATAACATTCCTTATATAAATCTGCGATATACTGACGTAACATAAGCGCTTCCAGTCTGGTAATGACCTTCTATATTCAAATCTGTGATTATATATGGTTACTCCATTACTTTGACAAGTATAGTAGTTTGCACGACTATCGCAAATAACAAAAGTGGGGATACACAGTTACCTTGTCATCTCGACACTACCTCCGTTTACAGACAATGTGTGCCGTTCCCCGGGTGTCGTTTTTACGCGTCATGTCCATATTTGACAATGGTGTTAAAATGCCTTTCATTGGCTGGTTTCATATTTAAATTTTGTCAATTAGTTATACATCAGCTGCTGTGATTGGAGCGAGGACTAACCAATATATAAACTCAATCAGCTTGTCAACAACGCATCGATGATACAGAAACAAGTCGTTTACCTTTGAGTAAAAAAATCTTCGCAGTTGTCTATCTGAATAATTACAGCGGACGCAAGATACTTACATACACCTAACTCCCGCACTCGTTAGGCAATTACCGAGGGACTTTGCAACATCCCCAGGAACTTCCCTAGACACTCTAATGACCGTTGTAGACGTAATATAAAAAAAGTATCCACGCAGCGTGCGTTCGAATTTCGTATGACCAATCAATGTATTTTACATGCAATTTATATGTTGCATGGGACCCATATCGAACAGAACAGGGTGTGTCGATTGTGGTGCTTTAATTAGTGCATATTTATATTGGTATCTTTCACCAGACCCGATTAAATATTTGTGTACGTACATAAAGATTGTATGTACGTTCGTCCGTATGTTCATACCACCCTAATAGATATAACACTTTTTTTTTCTTTCGGCACAACATCTTCATCTTTATAAATATTTAAAAAATTCACAATTTGAACTGAAACGAGGAGGTTAACACAGATTGAAAATCTACGCGCACGTCATGTTGTGGCCCTCTATAGTCTGAATGTCCGTATTCTTATTCCGGGCGAAGGATAAGAAAAACAAAATCATTTTTACAATTTCATGAACACTGTAAAAGTTTTGCATGTTGTTTTTACGGTTTGTAATATCGCGGGTAGATAAGAATGACAATATATTTTGCCTGCAACACTTTTCATACATTGTTTCCCTTTCTGTGTCTATTTTTAACAAATCTTCTAGCCACCCTAATTGTCACCCAAGTGTGGCTTCTGTAGGCTTTCTTTAATAAATAAATATAATTTATATTTAACTCACAATTTCCCGATTTCGCACTTGGTTTTTCATGTTGCATATTGATCACTGTACCAAATATGAATTACACATTTATTTTCCACAATAGAAAACTTTTAGTAAAAACCGTGTGTTTCTCGTTCGACGACGGAGTTTCTTGCCACACCAATAACCAACCAACTTTAAGTTAGAATAATGATTATCAACTCGTGCTAAAAATTCAAGATGTTTGAATATTCTATCTGTCTAGCTCAAATGAAAGTTCTTCGACCAGTCGAATGTATGTAATAACATTATAACAACAAACAAACAGACAAATAAGAGTAACAAATAAATAAATAAATAAATAAATAAATAAATAAATAAATAAATAAATAAATAAATAAATAAATAAATAAATAAAAACATAACACACATTCAATCAATGCGTGTACTTGGTTAAAGCACAGTCCCTGAACAGGAACTGTGGTTAATGGGCGGTAGACTTTGCGCCACTCATGTGCGAAATATATTGGTCCCATTCAAAGATTCGACTTGACTGTTGTGCAGATCAATGAGTACAAACTGAGACGTTACTAAGCTTTAATTAGGTATTCTAGGTGATAGGAAGGTATCGAAGGAGTCACCGGCGGTAATTAGCGCAAGCCGCGTCCAGGTCAAATCTCATACTTTTGATTCCATTAAGATTGCATTGAGTTTTGGGAAAATCAATAATAATAATTTTATTACACTACTAAAAACCTTCAGAGGGTTTTTGTATGGTAAGAACATAAATACAAAGAAATACAATAACCATAAATTTCAAAAAAGATAAAATAAAAGAAAAACGTTAGTAAAATAAAAGCAACAATAAATTAATTACTTTCTGTGGTTTTAAAAATTGTGCTCTTCAAATATTTTGCTAAGGCTATATTATTCTCCAAAAAAATTTTAAATATGGAATTCACATCCATTGTGTAAATATTTATTGCACACTTATCAAACAGTTTTTTTCTTTGTTTTATATATCAGGAAATGTTTTTCATCTCCTAATGCTTCAGTGTTACATTTATTACAGTGTCTATTTTCTAATTCTATTTTGGGCTTTGTTCTTCTACCTAAATTCTATTTCTAAGTTGTTATCAATCAGACCATTTGAAGCATTTTCCTGAGGCTGAAATTTGAAATGTTTTGCAAATAATTTTCCATATCATAACTTACTTTGAAAAATGTGTATGTTCTCAGTTTTTCTCAGACAGTTTGAGTTTTACGTTTTTTAGTATTTGATTCAAATTTTTCATATTTTCATATTTCTAAACTGTTACTGTCAGTTGTGATTTCATTGGCCCAGATTTCTGCACCATACATGAGTATAGGTGAAATTAACTGGTCAAAAATTTTCAAACTAAGTGCTGGTGAGATTATTTTGTGGTTTAAGACTGTTTGATGCTGAAAAGAGCCTTCATTGATTTATTTTTTAACATAGATAAATTTGTTTTAAATTTTCCATTTGGAGTAAATATTGCCCCTAAATAGCAAAACTCACAGCTGTTATGTCTTGGTTGTTGATTTTAAAAATTCATGTTTTTAATCAGTCTGTTGCTGCAATTAAATACCATAACTTTAGTTTTCTTTACGTTTACTTCTAAATTCCAATTTATACAATATTCATTTAATTTGTTCAGACAGCTTTGTAGGCCGTCCTTCGTTTCTGAAATAAGTGCAAGTTCATCTGCATATTGGATGCAATTTAAAGGTTTCTCCCCCATGTTTATCAACACAAATGTCGCGCGTCGACGACCACCGTCCTGTGGTTCATCGTGTGGAATGTTGACATTATACTTCCATTAAATCGGCCGTTGTCATTCGCAGCCCCTCAACAACGCGAGTAATTGTGTTGAGCCAAGGAGGTAAAAAGCTCCATGGTTGAGCAAACGCGCCCACTGATTTGTGTTGTTACTATATGACCTTTGATAATAATAATAAACAGTAACTTACTGCATGTGGGAAATCTTATTAGTCGACAGGGATCTGATTTCAGTGACGCAATCAAACCGTTTTTGCTCGGGGTCATTGACTTTCATAAATTATGCAAATTTTGATTACAGGCATGACGCTGGTGACGTGACGTATAAGAGACTTTTTAAAGTTCACAACATCCTTATTTTATCTTCATCCTCACACGTAAACTCGTGTAATTTATTAACGGATTTATAACCATGGATCAGCATCAGCAAGGTAAGACATATCGTAACAAATTATCTGCTCTTTTGAGATGTGACTGAATAACATATCGTGTTGTGGACGGAATCAGTGCATCACCATCGAAGCGAGGGCATTGAAACGTTACTCTAATTAGTGAGTTTTCGGACCAGGACCCATCACATCAGTTTAATTTACATTTGATAATTCGACTTGTTTAATAAGTCCACACTTTAGTCTGACAATTTGATTCATGGAATAACCAAAAAACTGTGAAAACTGGTAACGTTTCGACTTCTCGGTTCCGACTTCCAACTTGACAGTTTCTCCCGGGTGGCCACTTCCTGTGTGGCTACTCACACGTTAGTATACGCAATATTGTCGTGTAAAGACAACCATGGGTCGTGGTTCAATCAGTGACGTACCCTAAATCTATTTAAACCGCCGAATATTACTGCGTGACTTTAGCTTTGGCTGGCCGTTTGACTAAATCTTTTTTTTTTTAATTTTCATTCATTGTAACTAAAGTTGTTTCACTAAATCGGATAGATACACATATTTTATGATTTAGTCATGGGCTGTGGTTGCTTATTTACAGCAACCTAATATTTTCCAATGACAAACCATAAGCTTAGTGGTGTTTCTCAGAAATTCCTTGGCTGATTTAATTCAAACTTTGTTTTGTGATTTGATTAAAAATGGCTAACCGACGGCCATATTAGTTTTATTTTCATGTTTCTAATTCTTCTAACTAATTTTTGGATATACTTTGACCAATTTGGTTAAATGTACTTACAAAGACAAGATGTGATGGTATACATACGTTTTTCATTTTAAAGACCCCTGAATGGCCATTTTAGTCCCAAAAAACATTATTTGAACATGTCAGTAGTTCTCAGGCATGTCTTGGTGTATTTATTCATAGTTGATATGAACGTCACACAGGATGGGTTACTGAAGAAAATAATTTTTGTTTGTGACTTGATTCAAAACGGTGGCCATGTTGGTTTCAATATTATTACTATTTCCATAATGGTATTCATATGTACATTTGTTTCAAAATGGTGCTGTCAGTGTTCATGGAGGTCACTGATGCATGTAATCTAATTTTGTTGATTCAAAATTGGTACCCCCTGCTGATATTTCAATGTTTGAGTGTTTTGCATTCACAACCAATTCAACATTGTACAATATAATCAAACATTTTTATTTAGTTTCTAATGATATCTAATGTATTCTTTTTTGAAAGGCAAGGAAATGTGATATTTATGTCTTAATTTTTTTTATGTGATAATGCTTTTATGTCCTCAAACTTAATATCCATGTACATATACTTTACAAAACTATCTCAGATTTAAAAGTTTAAAATTGGCTTCAAGGTCTGAATTTTTACTCTGAATATGAAAATAGGTTTGTTTGTTTGCCAAAGCTATTCTATTCTGCATTTTAAGTAGAAATGCATTTTTCTGAATTATTTGAATCTAATTAAAAATTGCTACATGCATCTAGTGACTGGAATAAAATGTATTGAAGTTAAAACATTTGAATATTAAATATATTTATGAATAATTTTTATGGAAAAAGTTGCTATGGAAATACATTGAGATTTTTTGCTAAATTGAAAACAATACAAATAAGTGCTTTTATTTTGGCATTTGTTATTGTAAATATTATCATGTTTATTTCTATTACATTTGTAAAGTTATTATAATTATTCAAACATGTTGGCATACATGTACATACTATTAAATCATTACCATGGTTATAAGATTATAATGGTATTTTAATCTCAATTATCAGCTGTTTGTTGATTAACTAATGCACTGCATACAAAAACATACAGCTAACTTTGAATGTGTGAAAACTATAAATAATTGGTTACCGTGGTAACAGATTGAGCTTTTTTTGGAAAATGGCTAATGTGTTTTTTCAACCTTTTTGTTTTGTAAATGTTGTTTTACTTGAAGACTTATGTGGTATATACTGAGCATTTGTTAGCATTCTGGTCTAGATCTCATGTTTCCTCACTTACTCACTCTCATGTAATTTGTTGGATGTTCGGATTCAAAATGGCTGACTTTTTCAGTTTTGTTTACGTTTTAACTAACAGGGACTACTATTTTTAACTTCTATTCAGATTGCTTCAATTCAATACGTTCAATTACCCACCATAGACTCTGGTCAGTCAAAATGACTATTTCAACTGTAGGCATTAAATCTGCGATTCAGCCAATGACGGAGAGAGAACAGTAACATGTGACCAAGTCAAGAGGTCAGCCCCATCTTGCCTTATGTTCACTCTCTCTTTTCTCGGTACCGAGTGTGCATTGTAGCAAAATAGTGCGGTTCACTCAGCGGTTTTTCAACTGAGTTTCCTGAGGTACTCCTTCTGTGACCGTTGGTAACAGTAAGACCTGGTGTCTGGTAGGATAAAATTGTTCTTATTAGGGACCCCATGTTCTTTCTTATACCACACACAAAAAAACATAGGTGACGAATATGCCCATTTTTCTAGGGCTTCATTGTGTCAGTTTCAACTGTAATAAGACTCATGCGTGTCTTGTTCATTTCCTAGTGTAGCTAAAATTGCTGCTTAGAAGAAAGGAAGCACTCCTAAAAGAGCTTCTGAACTTTTCGACTCTTACAAACAGCGAGGGGACTCGCCTCGGCAGAGGAGAGTTTGCCGAACACTTGGCCACATATTCCTGTCGCACATAGATTGCGCTGGTGTATTCTGGCATGGAAGCAGCGGGTAACTGACCCCTGGACACGGTTACAAAATATTGCTGCTTCTCCGCCTCCCTTGTTGACGCCCCGTCCCCCTTCAGAGGCAATCCGACAGAAGGTAGAAAGTTTGCTTACAAAAGGCACCATACACAGGGTAGAAGACCTGGCGGCAAGTCCTGGCTTCAACTCACACATGTTTATAGTTCCAACAGCTACAGGTGGCGGGCATCCAGTTCTGGATCTATACAATTAAGCATATGTTACCAATGTAATAATCACTTTATGGAAATGTGTAATTTATTTCTTTTGTTTTGATACCCAATATGAAAGCTACAAATATAAGGTAGACATTAATTATTTTCTATATATAGCTATGTTAAAATTGATTTTAGTTATTCTTGTGATGTACTGTACAGTTGCCTTATGGAGAACACAGTTTAGCCACATAACCCTAGTTTTTGAGCTATTTATTGATATGTTAAGAGATCTTGTTGTGAACATATTGGATAATTAAACCATGTTTTGATTTTTTGTCACATTTCTGTACAATACATAATTTTTTAAAACAATTTTCAATTTTACTCACATCAGTGGTACAGTAACATTATGACCCAAATTAAATCACATAAAATAATTTTTTTTTTAAATGTGTGCA